CACAGATCAGTCCTGAGAGTTTATTATAGACACAAGGACTTCTGGTCCTCCTGGCATACAGCCCTCCAAAAAACAGTAGTAATGTTTACCAATTCTAATTTACATATTTTATCTTAAGTGATGTAGAAGGTGGGACCAATGGCCTTATGCACCCTAGGCAGGGGCTCTGTTACTGAGCCTCCCTCCCAGAACCCATACTGGGGGATTCTAGGCAGGGGCTCTACCACTGAGCCACACCCCAGCCCCTCACTGGGGGATTCTAGGCAGGGGCTCTACCACTGAACCACAGCCCCAGCCCCTCACTGGGGGATTCTAGGCAGGGGCTCTACCACTGAGCCACACCCTAGCCCCTCCTTCCACATTCATGTGGGTTCAAGGAGTCAAACTCAGGTTTTCAGGCTTGGCAAATGACTTTGCTTACAAAGTCATCTCGACAGCTGTAATATACAAAGTTTTTTTGTTTATTTATTTATTTATTTATTTTTTTGAGACAGTGTTTCTTTGTGTAGCTCTCACTGTCCTAGAACTTGCTCTGTAGACCAGGTTGGCATCAAATTCAGAGATCCGCCTGCCTCTGCCTCCTAAGTGCCAGGGATTAAAAGTGTGTGCCACCACTCTTGGGCTGCTTTTTTTTTTTTTTTTTTTTTTTAAATATATGTGGGTGTTTTGTCCTTATACACTATGTACCTGCAGTGCCTGTAGAAGCCAGAAGAGGGCTTGGATCTTCTGGAACTACAGTTACAGACAATTGTGAGCAGTAGTATAGGTGTTGAAAACTGAACCTGTGTCCTCTGGGAGTGCAGCCTGTAATAGTGGCATTTCATTTGTATTTTAATAAATAAAGTTTGCCTGGGGGTTGGGAAAGTAAAACAGCCACACTGGCCAGCCTTACAGACCAGGCAGCAAGGACGGACATACACCTTGATTCCCAGTAACCAGCAGGCAGTAGTGGTGCACACCCTTAAACCCAGAACTAGAGAGGAATATAAGATGGGCGGAGACAGCTCTCAGGCACAGTCTCATTCTGAGGATTCCGGGAAGCAGGATCACTATTTTCCGACTGAGGTTGAGGTAAGAGCCAGTGGCTGGCTGCTTTGCTTTTCTGACCTTCAGGTTGGACCTCAATATCTGTCTCTGAGTTTTTATTAATTGTGCTTCAACAGCCAGCGCTCTTACCTGCTGGGCCACCTCTCCAGTCCCACACCAGGTCTCCATGCTTGCACAGCAACGCTTGACTCACAGCCATCTCCTCAGTATCCTCTTTCTTCATAACCACGGATGACTTTTCTCCCATTCTACAATTTCATACAAATTAAATAACTTAAAATAAAGGGGGGGGGGCTGTTGGGCTACTGCTGTGTGACCTTGGGCAGGTGACCTCATTCATCTCTCTGAACCATATCATTCCCTTCTTTCAGGAACTTGAAGGACGTAGGAAATAGAGGGTTAATCACCAAGTGGAGACCTTGCTCACAATTCTGGCGAGTTAAAAGAACAGGTCCAAGCAAGAGTCATGGCTACCCTATATAAACCCTAAGAGACGAGGCGTGGTTTCACACAGCCCAGGCGAGTCTCGAACCTCACACGCAGCTACGGATCTTCTTCCTGATCTTCCTGCCCCCACCCCAGAGTACTGGGATTTACAAGTGTGAGCTTTTATTAAAGAGCAGGTCAGAGTGCCCCCTGGTGGGGGTAGGGTCCCTCCTCTTCTGGCGCACCCTAAGTTTGTCTCAAATCATCATTCCAACTCGTCGCAGCCAAAACACAACTCTTCTCTGAGCTTCGCTGGGAGCATTTACAGGACAGTTTCTAGAAAGACACCTAGAAACTAGAGAGGACCTGTGGCGAGCCTTTGGGGTGCAAATGCAGACCGCGGAATGGAAACTTTCTCTCCCCTTACTCTTGGACTGGGAGGCATAAGAGAAGGCAAAAGACAGTCGCTGGGTAGAGGCCGTGCACAAGGCAGTCGATCACGAACCAGCTCAGGGAGATGAAGGGCAAGAGTGACTCTGAAGGGATGCGTGGAGAATCACCAGCAATTTTCCAACTGACTTTTCAAGGCATAGCTTCACATGCAGATCCAAAGAAGACCACAAGGGGTCGACGAAGCATCAAGAGCTCTCAGGGAAAAGCGGTTGTTAGCAGTTATCACCTGCCCAGAACTACTAGGAGTCTGGAAGTTAATGTGGGGGGGAGGGGACACCGGACGGCAGGACGACTGTGAGAGGAAAGAAGGGTTTGACCCAAGAATGCCAGAAAACAGGCCTTTAAAAGCCTAGAAACTTACTGGGCAGTGATGGCTCACACGTTTAATCCCTGGCACTCGTGGGCCAGAGGCTGGCAGATCTCTGAGTTTCAGGCCAGCCTGGTCTACATAGCTAGTTCCAGGACTGACAGGGCTACACAGAGACTCTGTCTCGAAAAACCAAAATAAATAAATAAAATTTAAAAAAGGAAAGAAAAAGAAAAAAAGTTCAGGTTCGCCCCCAGCTACCCTGGGATTTCTGCCTTCACCCTCCAACTCTTCACATGGGTGCCCGGGATCTGAACTTGGGACCTCATGCTTTCGTGGTGTTGCTAAAACTCCTTCCTGGGAGAAGATATAAGCAAGGTTTACCCCTCCTCCCAAAGCCCAAGACAAATCGAGGCACATTCTACTAAAATTCCTATGAGGAACCAGTGAGACTTGGGGTGTCCCAAAGGGCACAGGTTAGAGGTTATAATGGGTGTGGGTGCTCCAAAGGCTACACCAGCAAGTGTTTACCCTGTAGGGATGAGGGCTCTCCTGCAAATGAAACCTCCCTCTGTAGCCTCTCCTGCCCCCATTTGCGGTTAGGATGGAGTTGTTGCATGTAACAACAGGTAGGGAGTGGCTGGGTACTGGGGGAGGGCCATGATCCCGGTACGAGGGATTAAGCAGTCTAAAAAGCCCAGCAGGGATGAGCTTTTGCAAGGGGATGTAAATGAACTCCCCAAGACTGCTGTTGCCCTGCTCAGAGGATCATCAGGACCTTCAGGGAGCACCTTACAGACCTGCCCAGAGTCTGAACTCAATAGACACACTCAGCTATTCAAACACACCCTCTCTGTCATTCAGTGCCCAGGTTCCTGTTTCTACATCAGCACTGGGCAATGAGATAGTAAAAGTGAGGGCAATCTTGTCCCTTCCCACCCAGGCTTCAAAGTCAGTGAAACAGACACAGATCTGCCCCGAGTCCTCAAGGCCCATGACAGGAGCCAGCAGGTGGCTGGAGCCCCAAGAAGGCTTTATTTGAGTTTATTGGGAGGAGACAACACATGTCCGAGCTTCCACTGAGACGTTTCCTTCTTCATCTTTCTTTGTTAAGGTCTGTCTCTCGCCCCTTTCTGTGAGTCCTCCGCGTGCATCACCTTCTCGCTAGTCAGAGTCAGCATCTTCTGAGACAGGTGTGCCTTCCCGCTCAAACCTTCCTTGCCATGAGGTAGTGCTGAGGATGTCTTGGTTACCAGTGTATCCAAAACCATGCACTCACACACACACATATATACACACTCATGTATACATACACACATATACATTCACACACATATACATACACACATATACATATACATTCACACACACAAATACACTCATGCACACACAATGCGCTCACATACATATGCACTCAATTACACATACACATATATACTCATGAGCTCACACACATGTATACATATATACATATGCATTCATGCACAAACATACTACTCATGCAAGGCATATACGTATTTGCTCACACACCCATATACTCACGCACACACATATACATATATGCTCATACACAAATACACACACACTATATATACACACATATATATACTCATACACACATACATATGCACCATTTATAAATGCTGCTTATGGAATTCATTTACTTGTTTGATTAATGTAAGGAGCATTTTATTCTTGACCAGCCTTTGACTGGGCGATGCTCTCAAACTAGTTGGGTATATTTCTCTACTGCTCCCAGACATGGTGGTGTATACTTATAATCCCAGCATTTAGGAATCAGAAGCAGATCTCTGTGAGTTCGAGGCAGGCCTGGTTTACATAGGAAGTTCCAAGCCAGTCAGAGCTTCACAGGGAATTTCTATCTTGAAAGAGAAAAAGTTTAAGGGGCTGGAGAGAGGGCTCAGAGGTTAAGAGCACTCTGACTGTTCTTCCAGAGGTCTTGAGTTCAATTCTTAGCAATCACATGATAGCTCAAATACCAGATCTGTAATGAGATCTGGTGCCCTCTTCTGGCCTGCAGCATACATGCAGATGGAGTACTGTTTATATAAATAATAAATAAATCTAAAAGGCTTTTTAAAAGAGGAGGCCATCATTTTATGATGTCTAGTGTCCATCCCTCCCTCCCAAGAGATCACCTCATTGTTGAGACTTAGAAAGAAATACAGACTTCCTTCCTTCCTTCCTTTTCTTCTTCTCCCCCCCCCCTCTTCTTTTCCCCTCTCCTTCTTCGTCTTCTGCTTGTTTTTGAGAAAGGATCTCAATGTGTAGCCCTGACTGGCCCCGGACTCACCACACCATGTGCCACCACTCCCAGCCCTTTTATTTGTAAATAATGAATTCTCATTTATGACACTTCTTTATTCATTCATGTCTTGTGTGTGTGTGGAAGTGAAGCATGCTCATGAGTGTGTGTCAGGGTGCAGGGGTGGAGGTCAGAGGGCAACTTTCAGGAGTTAGTTCTCTTCTTCCACCAAAGATCTCACTGAGTTCAAGTCCAGCCTTTTCTACAGAGAGAGTTCCAGGACAGCCAGGGATACAAGAGAAACCCTGTCTCAGAAAACCAAGCAATATAGTGGAGAACAATTGAGGACAACATCTGATTTTGACCTCTGACCTATACAATACACACACACACCTTTCAATTCCCACACATACCAAATACACAGACCAAGACTCCAGACAGCTCAGTGCATAAGTCTGTATTTCTGGATAATATAAAAGAATAAACTTAAAAAAAAAACCCACCCAAACCAAACACCCAATGGCTTCCCCAACCCACTCTTCCCACCCAGATAAATAGAGACTCCTGTCTGTCCACTCACCCGCCTACCCCCATAAGCCGCTCTCTATAGACATACTCTGGGTATATATTACTCTACTCCGCAATAGACATCTCCCAAAAATAGAACTCAGTCCTGGCACAGGACTCTACCCTGGCCCCACACCCTTGTTTCAGACTACACGCCACTGTAGCACACTTGTGTCTTTGCCCCCAGTGGTCAGGGCCATGCTGTCGTCCCACAAGAAGGCCACATTGGTCACATGACTGCTGTGTCCACCGTATTTGTGGCTGAGGGCCTGTTAGAAGGGAACAGGTGAAAGGAAGAGGTCAGACGAAAAATGCCACCTGGAGGCCACAGTCATTTTCTTCAAAGCCATTAACATTTTTGTGTGTGTGTGAGCTACAAGTTTTTACTCTATACTTCAGGAAGTCCTAAAGCTCACAATCCCCTTGCTTCCTTTTAATTTTTGTTTGCTTTGCAAGACAGGGTTTCTCCATGTAGCCCTGGCTGTCCTGAAACTCGCTCTGTACATCAGGCTGGTCTCAAACACAGAGAGATCTGCCTGCCTCTGCCTCCTGAGCGCTAAGATTAAAGGTTTGCGCCATCACCTCCTGGCTTAATTTTTAATCACAAATACATGTGTGTTAGAGTACACGTTTGTACATGGGCGTGACTCAGTGGTAGAGCCCCTGCCTAGAATCCCCCAGTGAGGGGCTGGGGGTGTGGCTCAGTGGTAGAGCCCCTGCCTAGAATCCCCAGTGAGGAGCTGGGGTGTAGTTCAGGGGTAGCCTTTGCATAGTATGCATGATGCCCTTGTTTTTGATAGATATTATCTGAAGATAGATAAGGGATAGATATAAGATATAACCTGCCGGGCTGGAGAGATGGCTCAGTGGTTAAGAGCATTGCCTGCTCTTCCAAAGGTCCTGAGTTCAATTCCCAGCATCCACATGGTGGCTCACAACCATCTGTAATAAGGTCTGATACCTTCTTCTGGCCTGCAGGCATACACACAGATAGACTATTGTATATATAACAAATAAATAAATAAATATTAAAAAAAAGATATAACCTGCCTGTACTGAATCAGTTCCCATTAAAAGTGGGGTATGATGAGTCTCTATGAGGAACGCATGCCCACAGTCAGGTATGGCTTACTTTCCTCTTCTTTGAAGAGCCCAGAAGTATCTGGGTGATGGTGGAACACACCTTTAATCCTAGCACTTGGGAGGTAGAGCCAGGCAGATCTCTGTTGAGGCCAGCCTGGTCTGCAAAGCAAAACAAAAACAAAAAAGAAGACGAAGAAGAAGAAAAAGAAGAGGAGGAGGAGGAGGAGGAGGAGGAGGAGGAGGGGAGGAAGAAGAAGAAGAAGAAGAAGAAGAAGAAGAAGAAGAAGAAGAAGAAGAAGAAGAAGAAGAAGAAGAAGAAGAAGAAGAAGAAGAAAGAAAGAAAAGTCAGAAGGCCAAATTCATGTTCTCAGATGTATCTTTCTTTTGAGTGTCTCCCTCATGCTTAAATTACATTAAAATATCTTCATTAAATCCTAACTCTGCTTCAGTAAGAGAAAAGGGTAGCTGTAGCTCTGGGCATTTGTAGAAGCTGGTCCTTGCTCTCGGCCTGTACGGAAATCACCGTCGCTGGGAACCCAAACCCTAGCCCTAGAGTCTAGGGCAATAGCCTCATGGTGTCTTGTTTTGCTTTGTTTTGAGACAGGGTTTCTCTGTGTAGCCTTAATTGTCCTGGAACTAGCTCTGTAGACCAGGCTGGCCTCAAACTCATAGAGATCCACCTGCCTCTGCCTCCCGAGTGCTAGGATTAAGGGTGTGTTCGTGCATGCACAGGAACCTCAGAGGTTTTGTTTGCCCAGGCACACGGTAGGTGATCATTTGTACAGAGAAAATACTCAGAAACCTCAGCGATACGAACTGTGGCTCAGAACCCTATGAAGGACCCTGGGCAGTTAAGACATTCCTACAGATATGGGAAACTGAGGCCCAGAGAGGAATGAGTTGCCTAAAGAAAGTGAAAAGATGAATAACAGAAGACAAGGGAGGAGCCGAGAGGTCCAGGAAACCTGGGCTCTACCTGGCAACACATAAACTTGGCTTGATGGCACACATCTTTAATCCTAGCTCTAGGAGAAGAAGCAGGAGAATTGGTGGGAATTTGAGGTCACCCTTGGTTATATAGGGACTTTCAAGCAAGTCTGAGCTCTCATCCCCACAAAGGAGTGAATAGTGCCAGCTCCCACCCCTCAGGCCCCAGAGGGACTTACTCTGGGCTGACAGCAGGGATAGCTGAACAGGTGCACTTTGCCAAAGTCATCAGCAGAAGCCAGCAGCTTCCCATCATGAGAGCGGGCCACAGCGTTGATGTCTGTGCCATCTGCCCCCTCGGGCCAGATCCCTGTAGACATGACAAGGGAAGGGATGAAAGATGCCCGACTGCTGGGCATGGTGGCACAGGCCTGTAAATCCAGCTACGGGAAGCAAAAGGAAGAAGTTAAAGGCCTCCCTGGATAACTTATTGAAACTTGTCTCAAAAAGTTAAAAAAAAAAAAGTTGGGGATGTGGCTCAGTGGTAGAGCCCCTGCCTAGAATCCCCCAGTGAGGGGCTGGGGTGTGGCTCAGTGGTAGAGCCCCTGCCTAGAATCCCCCAGTGAGGGGCTGGGGTGTGGCTCAGTGGTAGGGCCCCTGCCTAGAATCCCCCAGTGAGGGGTTGGGGGTGTGGCTCAGTGGTAGGGCACCTGCCTAGAATCCCCCAGTGAGGAGCTGGGCTGTGGTTCAGTGGTAGAGCCCCTGCCTAGAATCCTAGTGAGGGGCTGGCTGTGTGGCTCAGTGGTAGAGACCCTGCCTAGAATCCTAATGAGGGGCTGGGGGTATGGCTTGACCCTCCAGGTCTCAGCTCAATTGGCTCTCCCTCCAAGAGATAGATCCTCCTAACTTCAAAGGCTTGGGCCAATACTCCCTCCGCAGTGCCATCAAATGTGTCCCCCAGCCAGTTCCTGTACTATCTCAGGCGCGGCTGCCTTCTTCATTGCACTGTGAGCTGCAGAAGAGCAGAGCTGGGACCACCATCATCACTGTGCTATTGCAGCACTGTGTGCTATTGCAGCACTGCCCCTGCAGGCCAATGGTGCTCCTGCCACCTGGGATGACGGCTTGCGGACCTGACGGAGCTTCAGCATGGAGCCCTCGGAGCCAGGTGCCCTATGCATTCGGTCTCATTACATTACAGCTCTGAGGGACTTCAGTGGTCATTTCGCTCTGCCCTTCCTCGAGAGTACCATCCAGACAGTAAGGGTTTCTCAGAGCTCCAGTACTCAGTGGGACCTTCCTCATTCCAGAACTTACCGAACACCCCAAACCCCAACACACAAGTAGCGGTAGCCCACTCCACATTTCTCACGGCATCTGTGCTGGTGATCTGCTTACAGGTGGCGGCATCCCCTGGCATAATCAGAAGAGATGTTCAGGGCCTGAAGATCTGCCATAACCAATCTGTTTCCCAGATAAACTAGCACTGAGGTCCAAGACAGAAGGGTCAAAGGTCCCTGAGTTTATTTCTGTCTGCCTGGACCAGGCTGGATTTTTGGAGCTGACATGCCCAAACCTGAGCTGGGTACCTTCTGCATAAAAATCTTCTGTTCATTGTTAAAGCAGAAGGGAAATAGGATGCACTGGGAAAGAAATCACGAGCTAGAGATTGCTAATTTCCAAATCAGGTCAGCTCAGACTAGCTCAAGGAAACAGGAGCTGTATGTAAATCATATGCAAATGAAGCGGCAAAAGAAAGAAATCTGGCCACTGTCAGAGTCAGAGAACTCACAGTACAGAATCTCGTAGTCTCCGGAGTTGGTGACAAAGCAGGTGCTGTCCTGGGCCCAATCCAGGTGGGTGATAAAACTGGAATGGCCCTGCAGGGGACGCAAGGGTCACTTTAGAGCAAAGGAGAGGGCTGAGTCAGGGAGAGGGGATGGATTAAGTCAGGATTAGGAGGCAAAATATACAGAGTGAGAACACGGTTGGCTGGGGGGGGGGGG